CTACGGGGCTCTGCGTCCGCCTGCGCATGCGCGGCGGCGGTTCCCGCCCGCCGGGCTCGATGCGGAGGTAACGGAATACGCGGCGAGGGTGACAGCGCTCCGCTACGGGTCGCGAGCAGGGCCAAAGCGCCCCGAAAAGCGGTTTTCATCGCGGACGCTGCAGCAAAATACTGGAAATGGGGTGTTAGGCTCGGCAAGTGCGGGAGAATGGCAGGGGGGGCCCCAGGGGGGTCCCCAAAAAAAAAAAAAAAAAAAAAAACAGAAACCTTTTGATTTGCTTCATGGCCTATCATATTTTGGGGGGGATGGCATAAACATTAGAACTAAAAGTGCTTTTAGTGTCAAATGAGGGCCTTATGTATCAGGCGAAAGCACTGAAGATCACAAAAGTTGCAAAAAAAAGGTAAAAAAATCAAAAAAAAAAACTAAATTTATTTTAAAATACAACTAAATTAACCTTTGCCTGGTGAGGAAATGATATGTGATATTATGGAAGTGTACATAACTTGCACATTGTGAAAGCCTGAGGACTGGTGTGATACATTTAAGGTGCAGTGCACAAACCAGTGTTCACATTTAAGAAACTTATGCAATATTAAGTATTGAATATTACATATAAATATTAAAGCCATGTATCAGATCCAAGCGAGGAAGACTGCAGAGACCAGGAAACCTGCATGATTGTAATGCTCAGCTCATGGTGGAAAGTGTCCAGCTGTGGCATTTAAGCTGCTTTTGTGGGTGCAGCTGGGGAGAATTTCACTGTCCTCCTCCTCAATTCTTCTCCAGATTGGATCCCTCATCCAAAACGAAAAGCCCTGCAGGAGCATGCTCTGGCTTGTATAATAAATAAAACCCAGTGAGTAGGGTGAAGGATCAGAGCTTTGGTAACTGAAAACTCTATGAAGTCTCACCAGTGTCCTCTGTTGAAGTTCTTTCCTGTCTATCCAAGTAATGATGTTGTTCCTGTAATGAGCTGCAAAGACTCTTGGTCCCTAATGAGTCATTAAAACGAATGGAGCATCACCCAAGAACAAACGTTCCCCTAGAACTTGCTGGAAAATCCCTCGTCCCCATTTAGCCTCCTCATCTTGAAAAACATTTGAGGAAGGATCATCATTGACAGGAGATGTAAAAGTCAATATATTTAGTACATCAAAAGGCTGAAGGTCATTGAGCTGGTTCTCTTAGCACATCGCCCTGTTTAAATCAAGGAGACCGTGTTCCAGATGAGCTCCTCATAGCAGTGGTCTCTGAAATAACGAGCGCTACCTTGTCCAAGGAGATTAAAAGTTAACACACTGATTTGTAGCGTCTGGGTGCATCCCCTGACAGTGCAATATATCAGACTTCAAAAAATCCTGTGCATCTCGGGTGGGAACAGATGTTCCGCCCCCTCTGCCGCTCCGCGACCTTCTGCGCTGGGTGTGAGACGCGGCGCGGGCCCTGCCGCGGGACACGTCCCCCGCTGCTACCTGCAGCCCCCTCTCGCCTGCGCTCCCCTGCGGACTGCCGCCTCCTGGGAGAGAAAAGGTGAGGGTTTTGGTGCCTAAAATGTCTCAGCTTGGCTTGTGAGAGCACAGGACAGGAGAGCAATGTGCCCTCGTGGCCAAGAAGGCCAATGGGATCCTGGCCTGCATCGGGAGTGTTGCCAGCAGGTCGAGGGAGGTGATCCTGCCCCTCTGATCAGCCCTGGTGAGGCCGCACCTGGAGTATTGGGTGCAGTTCTGGGCTCCGCACTACAAGAGGGACATGGAGCTTCTGGAGAGGGTCCAGCATAGAGCAACAATGATGATTAAGGGACTGGATCTATCTTGTGAGGAAAGACTAAGCGAGCTGGGCCTGTTTAGTCTGGAGAAGAGAAGACTGAGAGGAGATTTGAAAGAAGAACTTTTTTCCTGTGAGGGTGACAGAGCCCTGGCAGAGGCTGCCCAGAGAGGCTGTGGAGTCTCCTTCTCTGGAGATCTTCAAAAGCCGCCTGGATTTGACCCTGTGCCCCGTGCTCTAGGTGTCCCTGCTGGTGCAGGGGGTTTGGACTGGATGGTCTCTAGAGGCCCCTTCCAACCTCAGCCATCCTGTGATTCTGCGTTAGAGCAAAGCACGGATGCAAATGCCTTCAGCATGAGCCCAATACTGCAAGCTGCTGCGTTTTTAGCAAGCGGATTCCCTTGTAGCTGTAATTCTGGGGCACTAAAACAAAGCTAGCCTCAGGGTGACAAAGTGGTAGACCATCTTAATGGGATTTACAAGGGCAGCTTCTGAAATGCCAAGAATGTGAAACATTTTAATTTTAATTTTGCCTTCTGTTGCAAGAGCAGCCATAAGTTCAGCATTGCTAGGCTTATCGGTTGGATGACACCTCTCTTATACAAATTAAAGAGCCTATGTATTTGACAGACCTTGGTGGCACATTTTGCTGAGAGCTCTATCAGAATATAATTGCTGCATTTTCCTTGCTTCTTCCAATTAATTTGTGAACCTTTATATTACTATTACTACAAAAAATGCTTACTTCTGATTTTCTCAGATCAAGATTATTTACATTAATTATCTCAGTAAAGGTTTCCACTAAGATTCTCAGGCTTTTCACTACTTCATGCTTGTGACATTTTGTATACTACTGCCCTTGGTTAGCTTTTCTTTTAATTATGGCTTTCTATAGCAGATGGGTTTCTCATTCCTTACAGGTTTACACTTTTATATTACTCATAGTCTTCTTTCAGCAACATGTAATAAAAGAGCAACCCCCAGTAAGTGATGGGGAGCCAAAAGACCTCCTATTACACTCATTAATTCTCAGGCTGAACAGATTCACACATTCAATTTATATGCAAGGACTGAACAGTAACTCTCCTGCTGTCATGTCCAACATGCAGGCTCCAATTCAAGACAGTAAAAAATGACTGAAATGCACTGAATACCATCCACATCACCTTCACTGCTTTTCCTGATAGCACCGCTGCATATAATCACGTAATCATTCCCGTACTTCAGCATCCCTGTCGCTGACTTTTCCATTGCCGTTGCACTGTGCCGGTAGCACAGCGAGATCTCGAACACCGTGTGACGACTGACATTTTTGCTGCTGTGACATTTAGCACTGCTGGGCTAAGCACTACTCGTTGCTGTTTTATAATACTTGTCCACTTGTTGTTGCATCATTAGTGGATTTGTGGAATTTTCCAGGGAGATCAGGGCAAGAAGGACATTTCTGCTCCTTAGCACATACTTTTGAGTGGCAGAATTCACCAAGTGAAACATTTAGTCCCTACCTAAATGTTGAAGGGTCCACTCAGAAAAGCTTTCCTCATCTGAATGCATTTAAATGTGTATAAAGATAGGGCTCTAAGCAGGTTTCGTAACTGATTTAGCACTGATTGCCACAGGCACACCTGAGGAATAATTATGTGTAGCCATCTTGGAGCGAGCTGATCACACATATATATAAAATCCATTTTTTGCAAATCAAATCCTGCACAAATGCTTGTGTAGATATTGGGAATGAGTAGTTAGGGAAAAAGGGAGGAGAGCAAGTCCCTGGGTTTTGGAGGCAGCACGGTGGCACTATGTTGAATGGAAGTGGTCATTTTGCTGTGGCCTTAGGATAAATGTTTTTGTCAACACACTCTGCTATGAATTCATCCATGTTCTACTGAACCATTTTTAACTAAAGCGGGGCTCGCTGCTTAAACTTTGAAAGCAAAATGTAACATGGCCTCTATCAAGCAAGTACCTCCTACTTCGAACTGAGCTTTTATGTAGATTAGTCACTAGGGAGTCACTTTATCTAATGTTCCCTGCATAAATTCTGTCATCATTTCATTACCTTGATTTAAAAAAAAAAAAAGGGGAAAAAGGAAGTATTGTATCTTCCTGCTTCTCCAACTGCCTTCACAGAGCTAAGTTCTTGTAGAACAAAACTCTTGCCAATGCTCTAGTGTAAAACAGGTATCAGTGGTAATGACATGGCTTCTTTTAAAGATCACATATCCAGAGTGATTCTTAAAAACCTGTCAGCTGCTTTTGATATGAGGCACGACCTATTCAATAAATTCAACACAGCTGTTGGTAGGCTGCATCCTTCTGCCAGGGACCGTGGGTGCTTGAATGGAAGCTTCTCTTTACACCTTGTTCTCCCATTTTTCTTATCTAGCAGCAGTCAGATCTATTCAGTAGCACTAAAATCATGGATTCACAAAGATGCAGGTAGCCACAGCACTTCTTTATTCTTTCATTAGTGTTTTGGCTGGTCCCATTTTGATCCCTCTGCACACTGTCTATTTCTCTTTCTTACACAGTGATGTGGGCAGTCCGCCCTGGCCACCCAAATCCCCCCACACAAGGATTTTTCTCTACATGAGATGCACAGCCGGGCACTTTTTTCACCCGAATCAATACGCAAGCGCTTTCTCTCAAAACTAGTGTGCTTGTTTTTAGCAGAATTGATGTGTTACTGCTGCTTGGTCTCTGTTGGGTAATAGCTCCATGCTCGAAGCGCCTCCGGTGAGGAGGAGACCTGGAGCCCGCGGCCCTGGCACCGTGGCAGCCCCTGCTCGCAGCCAGCGCAGCCCTTGGCCGCTGACCTTGTGCAGGTTAGTGCGGGGCAGCGCGGAGCCCTGCTCCTGGCCAGGAATGGCCCCTGGCACCAGCACGGCCCCAGAGCTCTTGACCTCTGGGAGAGCAGCTCTGCAGGGAAGGAGCTGGGGCAGGTCGTGGCAGGGCGACCACGAGCCAGCAGCATGTCCGCGGAGGCAAGGAGGCAACGACCGCATGCTGAAGTGCGGGAAGTTCTGCCTGAATTTGAGGAAAAAACCCTTGACCGTGAGGGTGACAGAGCCCTGGCACAGTCTGCCCAGAGAGGCTATGGAGTCTCCTTCTCTGGAGATCTCCAAAATGCACCTGAACGCCACCCTGTGCCACGTGCTTTGGGTGTCCCTGCTGGAGCAGGGGGGCTGGACTAGATGATCTCTAGAGGTCCCTTCCAACCTCAGCCATTCTGTGATTCTGTGATCTGAAATGCCACCTACTCGGCCAAAAATGACTCGTGCTGCGACAATGTGCCGTGACTAGTGCAGCTTCTGTCAGAGCCCACCAGACTCATTTTCTCAGGAGCACAATTCTTCATTGATGCAGGAATTATCAACTTCAC